AGTTAGTACATGTAAAATAATTGATACAGATAAAAAATGTTATTCAAATATGAATATAACACCTACCCCATCATGATATCTACCCGAACATGCTTTCGATATATAACAATCCTACACGAATATGCTTTTTACCCACAATGATCTATTTTCAAGAAATTGGTCCTAACCGCATGGTATCTAGTTCGCATGTTTTTATTCGAAAAGAAAACATATTCTACAAACTTAAAGCAAAAGATAATGGTTTAGAAACGCTCCTCCTTTGTGTACACCTATTTGGGTACCTACTAACGGACAGAGGTTCGGTATGACTATATCTAGAGTGACCGTTATACAGTTCACTATATACATGGTTTCGGCTCTAACAGGAAAATGGTGCTCGAATTGTCCTTGATGTTGGTGCCCCTTGGGCTGCCAGACCCTCGATCCTCACCCATTACAGGTTTCGAGCGGAACGAGTTCAATTTGAGGGGATTCACTGTCTTATACTCATACGAGGAATAAATCCCTACGAAGGTATAAGGTATGTATCCCATGGGTTATTTGCTAAAACTCATACGAAGAATAAATTCTTACGAGAGTAAAGCATTCACCCAACTAATTTGGATCGAAGCTCGTGTCTAGAACTTATGTATGCTAATGCGAGTGATGTGTGTGAGGAGGAACGTACCTACCATTGACTCAAAAGGAAAACAAAACAAGGAAAAAACTTGATAAAACCTTGACGAATCTGAAAACATAGATTAAATTGTTAGTATGACAGATAAAAATAAAGCAATTAAAAACTTCAATAAATGAATCAGAAGTTAACTAAAGACTCGAACTTATAATTTCAACCACAACGACAATGTGTAAACGACCTACAACTTGACCCTCTAAAAACGTCTCCAGCAGAGTCGCCAAGCTGTCATAACCATTTTTCGTAAAACAAATAAATATTATTTTAAAAAACGATTATGACTTTAATTTGGATAAATTAAGTGATTTTGGATTAATTAGAATTAAATTGAAAGGAGTCGCCATCGACCTTTGGGTTAGGTAGATCGAATACCTAAAAACGCATTTCAAAACAATTTTAAGAAAAATCTTTTTGAAAACAAAAATAGTCTGCGTTTACCAAAAATTCGATTTGTTAGGTTCGGGAGTCTATTACGTGTGGGGAAGGATTAGCACCCCCACAACGCCAAAAAATCAATACTATGTCGCTTACATATCGTCGTAATGGTGGAAACTATAAATCGAATATAAAATTAAATTATGATCTATTTATTAAAATTAATTTAATTAGCTTCACATTAATTAGAGAAAATTGCTTACCTTGAAAAGAAATCTTGAAATTAGCAATCCTCTATCAGGAAAGTTATTTCGACTATTTATGATCCGTAAAAAATTTTGCCTCTTCGATAAACGCAAATCGAATAAAAAAGAAAATCGATATTTGCCTAAAATAAATTGCTATTTAATAACACACATCGCATTGTTCAACTTAAAATAAAAAGAATTAATTAGCAAAATAAAATTGATTTATTTCAAGTTCACATTTTGTTAAAATGTCGTATCGGATCGCATCACTTCGACAAGTGAAGCTTTCCACGCTCATTTTACAAAATCGATGTTTTTGAAAATATTGGAGTAAAACAACAAAAAAAATGAATGAAACAAATATTTTGTATAATCGTTTGAAACTAATTCCCAAGTACAAAGAACATATTCATACATAAATGATACGAATAAATATATAATATACATACATGGCAAAAATGTAAGACAATAAAATCTAACTCAACAAAAATTAAATTATAGAAATAAAATAAACATATAATAAAACACAATAATTAAACGAATAAAATTAAAGTACTAAAAAATAAAGAGACAAAAATAAATGATTAGATCGTTAAAACAAATAAAATGTAAATACTTAAATTAAATAAAGAAAATAAAAACATAAATTTAAAAGTGTACAAAGGTAAATTGCATAAATAAAATGTAATAAAAATAAAATATTAATATCGAATTTTATTATGTATCTCATACCGTAAATTATGCAAGTTGGGGTAAATTTTCGTAAGGTCGTACATAGTTCGAACATGAAATAAAACAAACAAATAAATAAAAGGTTAACAATTAGTAATTAGCGGTTAGAAAAATTAACGGTTAACAGAGTCCGAACTATAATAATACGGATCATACCCCGGATCGGGTCACCACAAGGCCGAATCAAATAATAGAAACAACAAATAAATAAATAAATAACTGTTAGAATGTAATAAAATAAAAGTTAGTAGTTAACAGAGTCTGAACCATAATAATGTAGATCATACCCCGGATCGGGTCACCACAAGGCCGAATCTAATAATAGAAACAATAAATAAATAAACAAATGTTAGAGCGCAATAAAAATAAAAGTCAGTAGCTAGCAGAGTCCGAACCATAATAACGTGGATCATACTCCGAATCTAATCTCCACAAGGTCGAATCGAATAATAGAAACAATAAATAAATAAATAAATAAATAAATAAATAATGGTTAGAATGCAATAAAATAGCAGTTAACAGTTAGCAGTGACCAAATTAAAAGTTAGTAAAAGATGCATGCATATTCGAAAATAATAAATAAATTAGTGACCAAAGCAAAAAGGTTAAAAATGGAGGACTGGCAAGTGGTTTTCCACTTTTAAATGACCAAAACGTAAATGGCTCTAAAAAACAGGAGACCTATGCGTGATTTACCCAAAAAAACATAAAACAAACTTCCCATTTTTCTTCTCTGCACGCACAACTGGCCACAAGGGTGGGTCTCTTCTCTCCGGCCAAACGCCGGCCACCATAAAGCGGTGGTCCTCACATACCCCAACCAACACCGAAACAAACAGAGAAACACGATCCAACTCAAAAAGAACCAAAACCCCTCGGACGAAACCCGAATGCCCTATGTAAGCCATTGTTCATCCTCTCCGACCACCATCCATGGTGGTCGGGACTCTAAACTAACCTGGACAATAACAACTCCCCACCGGTGATGTAGAACTACGACCAATGCCTACACCTTCACCACCTTCACGTAATGAGACTAAGAAAAAAAAGAAATGAAAGCAAAAAAAACTGAAGCAGAGAACCAAAGAGCTTTTATTTACTGTTTTTAAACTTACAAATCTGGGGGTTTACAAAAACGGGGCCCTGATTTCTGATTTCTTTTTGGCTTTTAAAGCCCCCCAACAATAAAAAAGGTAATAGTACAAGCTTGGTCATTGGTTTTGTTCCCTATTCATTTTTAGGATAAAATTAGGGTATTACAGGTGTTTATGTCCCCACTCTTTCTTATGTAGTGAAAGGTATATCCTCGTAGTTTTAGACTTAAAGTTTTAGGATAAACCTAAAAGTGTGATATGAATCTTTCACAGGAATTATTGCTGGTTCTCAGCCTGTTCTCAATTTAAAGGTGTATCTCTAGAAACTATTTTGGTTAAAGTTTAAACAAATGCTTGCCTTCTTGCTACAATCTTAAGTTGTAAAATGCAGGGATAGTTGGTCGGAAATAGAGTCACAGACAATGAATTTGATGGCAATGCTCTTGTTCCATTTGCCCATGGTATGGCCTGATATCAGATGATATATATGAGGTATGTCACATGCCTGGAAATGGTATATCATATTGTAATGCCACCTTTTGCTTGCATAACACTGGATTTTCCGTGCAACGAGCTCTTACAGAAGGTGCCAGTACTAAGTGTAATTACTTCTGAAATTTTGCTGCAGTAGTGGCATTTGAGCTTTCTGTTCACATTCTATCTGAATCTACACTTTCAAATATCAGTTTTCGTCTTAGTTTGTGTTTGGTAAAGGACTGTTTTTATGTTTTTAGATTTTTCTTTGATCCATGTTTGTTATTGGAAACAATTGGATTCAAACTTGACCAACTCTCGAGTGAAAACAGGCCATAAGTTTGTTTTTATTTCCTGAAAATGTGTAGCTCTGATATTCGAATCTACATTGTGCAGGAGGTTAAAACTGAGTGCAAGGGCAATTTCTATATCCCACTGAGTGATATTTGTGAAAAAAAAACTGGACAAAGTTGATGCGGTAGTTGACTAATTTTCTTATTTTACGATGATTTTAAGGGGAAATTTGGATAATTTGAATCTCAGTTCTCTTTGGTTTGCTTATGAAATTTAACAAATTGCAGAACTTACAAGATTTGAACATATACAACATTCTAGAACCATGTTATCATGGCGAGGGTGTACGTCAACGGCGACCGGATGGGCGGATCGACGATTGGCAGCCGAAAGCTCTCCTTGCGATTAAGACGCGACTACGGCTAAATCAACCGATTGGAGTGTCGGGGTTGGGTCGCCACTCGTTGTTGAGGCCGTTAGCGGCGACGGGGCACTTCCACGGTGGTCGGAGATGCTTGATCGGAGGGCGAAGAGCTTTTGGGGATACACACACAAAAAATCGGGGGGAGGGGTTCTGGTTAGCCTGGGTAATTGGTTTCCCCCCTTAAAATGTTTATTTTTTCATTTTAATTTTTTATTTGCAAAAATTATTTTTTAATATTAAAAAACATGACACATGGCATTTTTAATGGGTTAATGGCCAAACTTAACGGTTTGTCACGGTGTAACCCATTTTGAGTTACAGAATGAAACGTTAGGCACCAAACTGAAACGAAAAAAACATTAGGCACTGAACTGGAAAAACGGGTCTAGATTGGGCACCTTTTGTATATTTAAGCCATTGTTTAACGCATTTCGTGTTTAGTTCAGTTCATGTCGTTGCGCAAGTTCATATGGAGTTTGGATTTAGGCTAATTAGGTTAATTTTCAAGTTCGGCTTTTTCGAGTTCGGATTAAACATATTAAGTAAAACATCAAATGAGATTGAATTACCTCATTAACAAGGTTGTAAATTCCAGCACTAACATCAAAGATGACTGACTCTGCAGACAGCAATTCATCACAATGGAGGATTGAACTCAAAGTGTTATTGTATGGATTTTATTGGAAGATTTCTAGGGCGGTGCAAGTATCTCCTGAAAACCTGGAATTCAAGCATTTGTTTGTGAGTTTTTTTAATTCAATCAAACCTGGAAAAATCCTGAGAAAATAACAAATAGATCGAGCAAACCAGCTTGCATGCACTTACTTTTCCAAGAAGAAATAAACCCCAAAGAACAACCAGCATAGAATTGTCAAGATCCAACACATTCCAATTAGCCTGAAAAACGAATGGAAAAAATTAAAATCTTCAGCTAAATTTTATCACCTTCAATCATTCAATCATAAAAATCTCAAGCTTATGAATGCTCAAGTGTCTTACCAGTAAAGTGATGGTCGAATTCTCAAAATTCAGTCACTGCAGAAGGAGAAAACGTTCAACTATGATAAGAACAATGACAAAGGGCTATCTAAATTCGATTTGTATATTGATATCCGAAGTTGTTCAATCCAATTATCTAAATTCCATAAGCACTATGGATTTTGTTCATGATCATGAAAAGTTTCATATACATTGATAAACATACCTGACAAAGCAATAACTGCTACCAAGTTCAAGGAAATAGTCACATTGGTTACTATAAACCTGCAAGAACAAATAGATACAAGGATCCATAATCAATACCAGAGACACACACTCGGGTTCAAGTAACAAAGATACTAAGTTTGAGAAGGATTTACACAATCTCGAGACCCCTTTCGATCAATCGCCTGTTTCTCCTTGCCTGTCTCGCGATATCGTCGGCTTCGACATCTAACCTCCGAGATGTAGTAGTAAGAAAAGTAGAAGCCTGACCAGTTGCATCCGTGTCTGCCAAGCTATCCCTCATTTCTTTCATGGCTCCCGTTGTGTTATATATAGTTTCCGATGCCCTGTCTATAATAATGTCCGCCATGGTTTTCGCTTCAGAATGGAATCTAACTGTCCCTCCAAGAGCTAAACCTGAGGCAACTCTGAAAACGAGAACAGGGCTTTCTTCATAACCCGGAATTGATTTCGATTTTTGAAACTCGGTAACATGAGATTATTGAATCGAATTGATTAAAATTTAGATGTTGAAGAACTTACTGTGCAAGGATTGTGAAGATTATAGCAAGGAGAACAGGCCATAAGTAACATTGCTTGTGACAGTCCGATTTCGTTCTGGGTTTTCTGCATCTTCCGCAACGGCAAGCAATTGCCAGGAGACATATTTCGTACAATAATCCACATAAAAGCCACGAGAATGCGATTGCGAAGCCGTAGATACCTGTAAATACAACTGACTGCAAAACGGAGGGAATTTATTCAAAATTAGATCGAGATTATTTCAAACCCAAATCAAATAAAATTTTGTTTGAATTTTAATTGGTTAAATCAAACTTCAAATTCCGATCAAATTCTAATAAAAAAGAATGTGAAATAGTAAAAGATAAGAGAATTACAGCCCAATAATGCTTGTTGGTGATATCAAATCCTCCTCTATACTTGTTGAAACTGTCCAATGGATCCACCATCACTGTATCAGCTTCATTGCTTGAATTTATATCTAATCAAAATTAAAACCAAACCAACGTAATAAAACTTATGGATTTATCAGTTTCGTTAATTAAAGTTAAGAGTAAATTGTCCAATGTTCACTTTTGATCACTAAATTGAAAAGGAAATACTTTTTAATTTTACCCATTAACTTTAGATAAAATATTATTTTAACTCTAGATAAAATATTAATTTAACTCTTTAACCTTAGATAAAATACCAAATGAATTCTATCGAAATCTCTTACTACGGTCTATCATTCACCAGTGTCTTCGATCTCCATCACCGGTAATCGTTAGACCTTAAAATTTCAATAAAAAATCATATTGTTTCATTATAGGATTTTACTTTATCTAAACCAAAACAACTATAAACAAAAAAAAATATGAATTTGATTACGACATAGATTTTGATTTATAATGCCCTTATTTACAAATGAACATTAATGATAAATTTATTATGCTTTAATTTTAAAGGAAGTTAAGGATTTGAGACTAGATTTATAGAGTTTAATGTATTTTTCAAAGAAACAGACATTAGATTCGTGTTTGGAATGTTAAATTGGAGTAAACTAGAAATTTTATGGTCCAACGATCGTCGACGATGACGGTCAACAATGACTGATAATGATGGTGAATGAAGGCAAGTAACAAAAGAATTTGATCAGATTTTTGAGTTAAATTGATATTTTATCTAAAGTTCAATGACAAATTGATATTTTATCTAAAATTTAAAGGTTAAAAATAAAAAATAATTCCTTTTATTAATATGCCATATTATCAAACTAATAGTTTGATGACCTAGTGACTAAAAATATTAGAAACCGTAACATAAGGGACCAAAACATTATATAACAATAATACAAATGAGCAAAATATCACTTTAAAATTTCAATGACCAAAAGTGAACACTTACAAAATGAAAGTGGTCATTTTATATAGTTTTACCCTTAAATCTATAAGGGAAAATTTACTGTTCCTCATTGAACTTTACTTTCTCCCAGATTTTGCTCACCCAACTTCAAGTTTTTCTATTTTACTTACCGAACTTTGAAGATTGCATTATTTTACTCGCTCTAAATTTATAACGCCATTATGACGTGGAATAGTTTAAAGTGTACAATTCGATGACATGGAGTAGTTTAAAGTTGTTATACACAAGACTCGGACCCTCTTATATATTTTTGGGCACGGCCCATAGTTTTACCTTAAATAAAAGTTGGAATTGGATTAAGATAAGATATTGTTTTAAATATTTAGTTTTTATTTAAGTTTCATTTTAACTTGTATAAGAAGAATATATTTTTCCAAGATTTTATTTTCTAAGAAATATATTTATTCCACCCTTCATAATCATAATAGAGAAGTCAAATGTAATTAGAACTGACCTGGGGAAGGTCAATCAAATTGGGCAGCAAATGCTATGAAATTGAAGCCGAAAATCAGCACCCTCAACAATGTTGTTCCATTTGTAAACCCCATTCTCAACCTGTCAAACAATCAATAGATTTTTCCAATCGGATAGACCTAAGAAATTATATTGAAACTATAAAATATCAAAATTAGATAATTAATAAAAAAAGATATTTAAATTATACGAGGATTTGAAATTTTTAGAAGATATTTAGCCACTCAATTATTTTTGTGGCTCTATTTTGATTATCGACCATTTTTTTTAAATCACATCTAATGTTACATTTTAGTTTCGTTTTGATCGTCCGTCGTTAAAAAATTAATGAACGATGGTGTTAATGTGTAGATAATGTCGTGTCATCATTGAAAAAAGTAAAGAATTATCACGTCAACAGTTCAATTTATTTTTACGGAGGATCAAAATGAAGTAAAAACGTAACATTAGATATAATTCTAGAAAAATAATCGAGTAACTAAAACAAAATAGAGTGACAAAGTCTAAGCGTAAACCGCCATTTCATACTCTTTTATTATCTGTTAACTAAAGCTACAAAATCAAATTGCGAATTTGACGGATGATTAGACCAAATTCATAGCACAATTCTTTCTTACAAAATACTTATTTTGCCTGCTTTTGACTCTCCATAATCATCTTTTATTTACTTACATTTATTACATTTCTATCCCTTAACTTTTAATTCCTATAGAATGAACAAATAGAAGAAAGAAAGAATAATTCAATGCAACTGTTCATTTAAGAAATAAAAATGGACATTTCTCAAGTATGATAACGAACATGAAATTGTTAAACTTTCATAAATGTCTGGGGAATCAAGACGTGTGGACATATAATTGTTAATTGAAATTTGTTTGGAGTTTGATGATCATAAATTTAATTAAACAAGTAATTTCTATGTGTAATATATTTTTATTTGTGTATTTGAAGCATTGGATGAGGTGGAAACCTCAAATCAGAAAGGGAAAAATACTGATTAAATTTGACAATTTGAGAGATATCGTAAGTTTAAATTAAGTCAATGTTATTAAAATCAAGTTAACATGTTTTTATGTATATGTATGTTTGATATGCTTTGGTCTAGGTGAATTATGTTTGAATTAATTTATAAAATCGATTGAAAACTAAGTAATTAACTAGTAATGGAAGTGTTATGGTATGTTGTAAAGTGTTTTGATATGTTATTTCGATGATCGATTATATTTGAGCACAGTCGACTTAGTGTTTCATATGAAATTATATTTGACATATGCAATGTGTTAATTTTCCATGTTTGAATTTGTTAAATCAAGCTCAAAGCTCCATTTGATATATCATATATATTAATCAAATAACATAAATGGTAAATTCTTATACTTAGTGAGGTGTTAAAATAATCCTTGTTAAAAATGGAAGTAGGTTGTTGGTGTTGTGGAACTCGGGTTAATTTCCACCAATAACAGATTCACCTTGAAAACTATTATCTAGGTGACTAGTGTGAAAACGATTGTACTAAAAATCACCCCAAGGTAGATTCCCAGGAAAGAGGAGGGGTCACAATGGTCCCTCTTAAAACCCACTTTCCTTAGACAGAACTACCAAGACAAGTAATTTTAATAGGACAATAATTAACAACTATACCCGACAATAGCTATTAAATAGACATAAAAGAGAACACCAAAATATTTCAAAGAGAGAAAGAATACAAATAGCCTTTAAAATAGAAGAAGGCTTATATTTGTGGGATGATTAACTAAGGAGGAGGAGGGTTTTATTTATAACAAAAGAATTTCCCCTCCTCCTTATACACAACCAATGTGGGACTTTTGCCAAAATCCAACAAATCTCTACCTTGGAAAATTCCACACATATCTCTAAAAAAAACAATCTTTTAATTTGTAACAATATTGACCAAGTCTAAACAATGTTTAAACTTGACCGCAGTTACCACTTTTGTCAACATATCAGCAGGATTCTCAGTGGTCCGAATCTTCTGGATTATGACTCCACCTTCTTCTAGAATCTCTCGTACAAAGTGATATCGAACATCGATGTGCTTCGTCCTTGCATGGTAAACCTGGTTCTTTGCTAAATGAATAGCACTCTGACTGTCACAGTGCATTTTGATGTGCTTTTATTCCATTCCCAATTCACCAAGCAACCCTTGAAGCCAAATTGCCTCCTTCACAGCCTCTGTAACTGCCATATACTTTGCCTCTGTAGTAGACAAAGCCACTGTTGACTGTAAGGTGGACTTCCAACTGACTGGTGCCTTTGCAAATGTAAACACATAACCAGTAGTTGATCGACGCTTGTCCAAATCACCTGCATAGTCTGAATCACAATACCCAACTACACACTGACCATCTTGTTTGCCCTGCTGAAAGACCAAACCAACATCTACGGTGTTCAGAATATACCGCAGAATCCATTTCACAACTTGCCAATGCTCCTTTCCAGGATCATGCATATACCTGCTCACAACCCCAATTGCCTGTGAAATATCGGGTCTCATACACACCATTGCATACATCAAGCTACCAACAGCACTTGCATACGGAACCTTTGACATGTATTCCCGTTCTGCATCATCCTTAGGTGACATGGATGCACCGAGCTTGAAATGAGGAGCAAGAGGTGTACTAACTGGTTTTGACATCTCATTTATGCCAAAACGTTTTAGTACCTTCCTCAGATATTCTTTCTGAGACAAATAAAGCCTCCCCAATTTCTTATCCCTTGATATCTCCATGCCTAGAATCTTCTTCGCTTCACCAAGATCCTTCATCTCAAACTCCCTGTTCAATTGAGTCTTTAGTTTCGCAATTTCTGTCTGACTCCTGGAAGCTATCAGCATATCATCAACATAAAGAAGAAGATATATATAGGATCCGTCTTCTAGCTCGCGTAAATACACACAATGATCATATTTGCTTCTTGTGTACTTCTGCCCTATCATAAACTTGTCAAATCGCTTGTACCACTGCCTTGGAGATTGCTTCAATCCTTATAGCGATTTTTCTAATTTGCACACCATCTCTTCTTTTTCAGCAACTTTGAATCCATCTGGCTGAGTCATGTAGATTTCCTCATCCAAGTCTCCATGTAAAAATGCAGTTTTTACATCCATCTGAACTAGTTCCAAATCCAACTGCGCTACCAAAGTCAACAAAATTCTGATGGAGGAATGTTTTACAACTGGAGAAAATACTTCATTATAATCAACTCCCTCCGTTTGAGCGTAGCCTTTA